GAGTGGGAAGATTGAGAGTCAGAGGTTAGTTGTCTTGCAGTTCGCCCCTAGATGGTGTCACTAGTGTACAGAGAAGAAGATTTAATACCACAGTTCAATTTTCTTGCAATTAGCCCCTCCCCAGAAGATGCCATTGACCTCATCAGCATTGAGACTGAGTTTCACAGTTAATTTTTTCCATACCAACCTAATGAATAGAGGCAGAGGGGGAAAGAGAGAGAAAGAAAGAGATCACTCTGCTAATTTTCCAGCCAGCAGAAACCACAGAGCTGTTAAGAGGAATGTATAGATTGTTTCATTTGACAAGCCTGTCACTAACACTTACCAGAACCCAACACACAACAGCCGAGACAACACTACTATACCCTTAAAGAGGAAGTTTCTGTCTTGTTCAGTATTCTCTTACTAGTGCATGCTGCCATCCTGTCCCTTCACTTCTAAGTATTAGCACAAAGCTGAAGCCAAACAAACCCTGTAGTACTTCCTTAGCATGACCCAAAATGACATTTTATAGCATAATAGCTGTAGAAATGTCAGAAGTCTGATCGACTTTTTCATCCCTGTGTAATTTCTGTAGTTAAAATCTTAAGAACTTAATTTCCCTGTGACCCTTCTATTTCTTCTGCCATCACTTTGAAGGAGGTGTGTTGACTCCAACATTTCCTTGTAGGACTGAGCAAAAACCTGCGTTTTCAGTTAGCAGGTTGATCCAGAAAGATTAAATTTGGGGTCAAAATGTTTGCTCCCCTCAAACATAAGTCCTCCCTTCCCCCCAATATTTCAATTCAAACAAAACTTTTAAGATGAATTAACTTTAGAGGTAAAATTAAAGAAGAAATGATCATTTCAAAACCAAACTGTCAAAACAGTTTGTTTTGAGGCAAAATGAAATATTTACTTTTATGAAACATTTTTCTTTGGGTTTTTCATCCAAAAGAATTTGATACAAATTTGCAAATATTTTCAGTCAACTAATATATGCATACTTTAGGAAAAATTTGCCTCCCAAATTTTAGCCATCTCTAGTTTTCTGTGTTTCCATCTCTGTTTTCCTATATAACCTATCCTCTTTATTCTGTTTTCTCATTACTGAAACTAAATTTCAAGGACTATCCTCTACCTCAGAATATATATATGGCTATTGTTACATTTTTGTCATCCTCAAAGTGTGTGAAATTTGTTCTTAATATAGATTCCCATATTGTTTTGGAGCTATCATCTCCAGTATGTTCAATAATAAAACATTAGGTGTTGCGATCTGGTGACTTCCCTCCTGAGAACTAAGGAACCATTTTCCTACTTGTTAACACTCTGAGAACCTGAATGTTGGATTCCATTCCTCTCATTGTCGGCCTTTCAAATCATTTTACATCACCATTGAATGCCATTTATTCCCTTTCACCTTTATCGTTAAGGGATGAAGATTATCTCTAAAGAGTGGTTGTAAAAAATTTAAAGAACCAGTGGATAAAAGGCAGTTCTAAATAAGTATGTTATCATATTACTGTCCTGTGCCCATCAGGGACATTTTTTTTATTTCAGTATATTAATACAGGTATTATATGCTAATGAAATATAAATTGATCCTAAGAAAGCCACTTATCGAGGTTCAGTTGCTATCTAATTAATTTAATTTTAAATTACATTAGCAATAAAGACTTAATTATATTCTTATCAATATATTGCATTGTGTGAAGAATGTCTGACTATTAATTTATATGCAGCAATTTTCTTATAGCAGAATAATTGGCATTTTAAGCATACAACTGTCAAATTGCATGTAAAATATGTATTTGTGACACCTTAAAATGTTACCAAAAGTTCTAATGAACTTATGGCTAATAGTACAGATAGCCTTCAGTTTCTTGAATGCCAGTCCCAGGGTCTTTTTTTTTTTAATTAAGGTTAAATTATATACATATACATATATCTTACTGGGATATGCAGTATGCTCATAGGGTCAATGAATTTTCCGTTGTTAAAATTAGATTACAAATTTTAGGGTACTGGAGAGATGGCTTGTTCTTTCAGTAAAACAAAACAGGCCTTTTAGCTTTCATGTACATATACAACATAGATGGAATTTACTTCAGAATATTATAATGCCTATATATTTTTGCATGGGATGCTCTTAGGTTGCAATTCAGGAAAGCACTGAGGCATAGGCTTCCAACTGAGAATACACGTAAGTGTTTTCCTGAATAAGGATGTATTTAAGCATATATAGAAATGCTTCCCTGAATTGGGCCTTTGCATATGCCCTCCTGAAGCAAAAATAGTCAATGACAGCTTTAGCTGCTTCCTGAAGTTGAAGTTTTGCTTTACAGTGAAATACATGTTCTATGGGCTGGGTCTGTCTCCCACAGTCTCAAAATCTGGCCCCTGGTGCTGTCCCCTTTGCCAGCCCAGGCCATCTCTACATGCAGAGCACAGGACATGTGCTGATTAGAGTGCTTGCTTAGGTTGTTTCAGGCTACAGCAACTGATCAGGCCTGTCCTAGCCTACGCCACTGGCAGCGTCTGCTTAGGCTGGGGCCCTGGCTGCGGTGTCCATGGTGCTCACTTGGGGAGTCCCAGGCTATACCATCTGTGCTGCCCACTGGAGCCAGCCCTAGACCAGTCCAGGCAGGTGCCACCTGTGCTGGATCAGGCATGTGGGTGGAGGAGGCAGGGTTTATAGGCCTGATCCAGCCCATAGACCAGCCCTGTGCTGCTCATCTGGCCTGAGGGGCCAGATGAGTTTGACAACTCTGCTTTAGAAGCTGCAAAAAGTAAATAAGTTTAGAAGCTGCCATATTTAAAAATTACAAGGAATTAAAGTGAACAGAAGCTGTTAATATCCAAGTAAAACTTTACAGTGACTTGTGAATTAAACCAATTCAAATATAAAATTATTCTATTACTTAAAAAAATGACAATCTAGATTATTACACTTCTTTATTTAATTTTAACTAATATAGTGGTTACCATTAAAAATACAACACCTACCTACAATTACCAAACTATAGTATTTGGGGTTATAGAAGGTATTTATGATTCATGATTTATCTTCCATAATCTTGAAGGATTATGATTAATGTGTTGACCTTAACGGGGATGACTGTATTAGAGGTGCAGTGGCCATGTCTCACTCATACTATGTGTCTTACTCCAGATTCAGCAGTGTGAATTTGAAACTTGCTCCAAACCTGTCCTGAAGGCCACCATTTGTCAACCAAGTTGTAAATGGCTATCTGGCCATTCAGGCAGGGTACTTAAGTCAGTCAGGCATGATGCTAGCCACATCATTCCCATGGGTACTCCTTACTACAGAAACTTGTGTGCTTTGATCACTCTAGCATTATGGACTACTTGACCTTGGATGAACCGTTGACTTTGACTGTACTAAAAGTAACACAATAAATAGTACTTTTAGTATATTTTGTAGTAAGTTTTTATATGAGAAGGGAACAGGTCTCTTTTCCCCACCTCCACTGAATTAATCCATTTCATAGATGGGCCAGACCTTGGAACATGATGCATTTTGGGGGTGGAGGGTGGCAGATCCTGGAGGTGACTTTTGATTGTATTTCAGATTTGACTGATATCTCATTGTAATGCATAAACACTGAGATCTAAATGAAATTACTAGATTTTATGAAATGCCTGCTATTTGGGGTCAAAAAATCATGAATACACCCTGTAAGAGTTTTGTTGCATAAAACAGGAACCTAGCTTCAAAAATCTATTCTTGGCTTGATATCCAAGCTTAACTCTAGATTAATCCAGTATCTCAAACTGACTGTGAGCTAAATGTCTCTTTTTCCACCTGGCTGTAGAAGAAGGTTATCAAGGTGCTCTTTGAGGATATAGTAATACATCCAAAATTGTATCATAACTAGAATTTGCAGCTTCTCATTAGAAATGATTTATTATTGTATTATTAAACAGGCTACCTGAGGTGATTATGCCATAACTTGGATGCCTTTTCTACCCTTTTAGGTTTTATTTCTCTATGTATCTTCTATACATACCACTCTAAGTTTTGATACTTTGTTATGAGGCTTAGTTTAAAAAAAGAAAACATAATCTATGACAAACACACTGCAGGAGCTGCTGCAGCTTTTGTGCTTGTTCTGTCAACCCTGGGAAGTAACTGCAGTTTACAGCACTATATGCAAAGTAAATCTCACCACCAGCAGAGACAAATCCCTTGCATGTTTTTGCCCCTTTGCAATGCTGATTCCAACTGGATTGTTTGATTTTTATTTTTTTTTATAAGACGTGAAGATATAAAAAACTGCCTGTTAACTGTGTCCATATTCCTTTCTTACTCATATCAGATAAGCATAGCTCTGGAAGCAAAATTGAATCAAGGTATAGTTAGCCAAATTTTAGGCAAATATTGTGAAATTCATCCATATTCACAATTAACCCCTGATTCTGGTTCCATTAAAGTTAATGGGATCCTTGCAGTTAATTCCAGTGGGTGAAAACAAAATGGGAAAACACTTATCATTCATGCAGACCATCTGCACAGATGAAGCTTTCACTGAGCATTCAATTTCACCCAATGAGAGAGAACTCAGACCTTGTAACTGTTATTCCAAGAACAATTTTCTAATTAATAATGACCACCAATAAACTCAGTTATTAGGAACCCTGCAAGTATGGTCTGAAGCATCAAAATTCTGTATTTTGTCAATGTTCCTTTTGAATCAATTTAAAATAATTTATTGGAATTTATGTTTATTGTAAATGTACTATATAAATATAAAAGCAGCTCAAAGTTTTACTCTGTAGCAAATGAAAGAAACACTTTACAAACCTTGCTGTATCTTTTCAAAAGTGTGGGGGCCAATTTTTCATAGTCAAGCGGTGTATTTGATTAAATGACAAGCAAGTTTCTAAAAATTAAATACATTCATATGGCCAGTACAGATCCGTAAACAATATTTTAATTTAGAATTTTATCTGCTGGTCACACTCTGAAAATAATTGATATCTGTCTTTTTTCCTAGGAGGTTTGTTTTTCCTGCTTGTATTTCTGTTTGTGATATGGAAGGAGCTTGCAGCTGATCTGCAGAAATACATACTTCTAGAAAGAAGTGAAAAATGCCTGGAGGATACCCTTGTGAATGTGTATTATGGATGGTCATTTATGTTTGCTGCAGCTGGGGTTCCCTTGGTTTTAATTTCAGGACTTCTCTTTTACCTTGTTGGCCAAAGCATTCTGAAAGCATTGGAGTAAAAATAATCTATAGAGTTAAGATGTGTTCTGATAAAATCTTTTAATGCTGTCTGGAAATTTGGTCACATCAATTTTGGAGATTAGACAATTTTTGTAGTCATATTTTGTCAGGTTATATGCTTGATCAAGAGTCACTGTTGAATAAAGCCAAGGAAGGAACACTGCAAAAATACAAAACCAGTAATTTAAAAAAAGATGGTCCTGAACCCAAATCCACACTCCAAATATTTATACTGTGTAAACGTTCATATGGACTTTCTTGATCTGCCTCTAATTGGAAAGACCAAAGCCTGGATACTTAGATACCAAGTTGAAGAACTGTAGACACATTTTTGTTTGGATTCAGACCCAAATTTTGCAGGCCTGGTCCATTTTGCTTCAGTCAATGAGATATTATTTTTAATAGGCTGTGCATATTTACAACCTGCCTGTGGGTCTCAATATTTATAAATATTCAGAGAGATTGGAATGTGAAGTTATTCCTAGCACCCTTGCTTCTTGTTTAAAGGTAATCAAATCTGGCTGTGATGATATACATTCTAAGCTCTATTTGTGAAAACCAATTAAGCATGATTTTTTCTAAGTTAGCTTTAATTGACATTTAAAGGACAGCTATTACATAATGCCAGGAGATGCACTTTTTTCCCTGCTCATTTAAGGTCTCAAGCCTGCAAACACAAAGGTGCATCTACCCAACTTTAAATAAGGGAATAGAGCTGTTATTTCACAGGAAATAAATCACTTAGTTATTGTATATACAATAGTTTCCACTGTGCACTACATGTTTTCCAAACCCTCAAGGTGGTCCTTGCCCTGAGAATTTAACAATCTAAGGACAGACAAATTGACAGGGCTAGGGGAAGGGAACGGGAACAACAATATTATAATAATCTGTTTGATGTGATGGTGCCTATGGGCCTACCAAAATGGGACCCTATTGTGCTAGATACAAATGCAGAATAACTGACAATCCCAGATACATTACATACAGTATAAAGGTAAATAAGTGCTTGAGTACTCAAGTGTGTGCATGTGTACAGAGGCTTTCACTACAGTAGCACATGTTAACTGTAGTACACTACAGGCAAAACTGTTTCAACCCTAAGGGCAAAGTAGTTTCTATTTGTACTGTACAAGAAGATTTGTAAAAAATATGAGAGAAATTATAAGATTTGGTCCTGTCACTATGTGTTTTCTTTTAGTGATCTCAGTGCTTTAAGTAGCTTGTGGCAGGCTCTTGCCTGCTTAGTTGATTTGCATAATATTTGAATCAAACTTTTCACAATATCTGCTTTATTTGTGACTGCCATGGTTTGAATTAAACATGTATCTTTGACTTATATGCCAGGCTATTGACTAGATGTAGTTAGTTAATAATGTGATGTAAATCTGTTGTAGAATGCAGTGAAATTTGTTGGAGGTATAAAAATGTTTATTGCTGTTTCTCAGATATTTCTCAAGTATGGCATTTCTTGTCCTTTGATGGCAACCAATGGAGCAAGTTCTAATTACTTTTTTACAAGATCCATGGCATGCATAGAATAAGCATTTGTAATTCCAACATGTAAAGATTTCTCTTTTGGTATGAATAACAGGCTTAGTCTGTAGTTCTCACTTAATAAAATTCACACTGATTCCCATTAATGGAAATTTTGTTTGAATAGGATGGCTATAAACAGTATAGTTTGTATTTTTTAAGTGAAGAGATGTTTCATGGCATTTGGAAATACACAGATATTTAAATGGTTTATTTGTCAATGTTAAAGTGTTTTTTAATGATATCTGTTAGGGTTATGCTTGTGTCCCATCAGTTCTTCAAGTGATTATTTCTCACTATAAATTGTCTCATTGGATAATTTTTGTCATTTAATTATCTATTCAGTGTTGAGCTGAACACTTATGGCCACAAAGAAAAAAAGTATATAATCTAGGAGCAGAAGAGGTCAAGATTTACAGTCACTTGCCTTTCACTGATCCCATAAAACAATTCAAGCATGCAGAAATGATGATCCCATAAGAGACACCAGGGCACAAGTACAAGAATGCAGAAAGAAATCCATCAGACTTATTGATATTTCTGAAGCTAAGGATCCCTGAAGTTGTGAATATAGAAGTGAATTTTATATTATAGAATGAAATATTTATTAACTTTCTCCATCTGTTCTTTAAAAAATTTAGTTTAATGTCATCAAGGCATTTATGGAATACATTTAGCTTAATCATGCATTCATGCCCTGGGGAGTAACCATCCCTTAGAGACTTACTAGCTCAGGATCAGCTCTAGAACAAGCAATAGTTTAAAACTCAATCATTCTTTTAGAAAAAGCAAGATTTACAATCATTTTGGAATTAGTAGATTTTAAACCTATTTGTGCTCGATGTACCATGATGACATTATGGTAAATACAGTACAGTGACACAATAAAATAATTAAAGCCTATGTTAAAATCCATCATTAATAGCCATCTTAAGTGCTCAGCAAACATATTCTGTGGAGATACAGAAGAAATTACTTTATTTTGTAGCTTGTGTACTTCCTAGGTTTAAGATAACTCAGACAAAATTGTCCTCAGGAATCTGGGTTGGTTGAGGGTTTTTGGGTGGGGATTTTTGGTGATAACCTACTGGGTTCAGTGATGTGGTCTTGAAATTCAGGCTGCCAAAGTCTTTTTCATCTGTTGGATTTGAAAGAGTTTGACAAAAGGATAGAACACTACAGTGCCAAGGCTATGAGCATGACTCTGTTCTGACTTGCATCAGCATAAATCAGGAACAATTCCAGTGAATTAAATGCACTCACCTCAGTATACAACTGCTATAATGCAGATCAGAATCAGGCTTAATAAACACATTTTCAAAAATGTATAATTAAAAGGGGTGATTCCATATGAATTTTAGCCAAGGTTCTCTTCAAGGATGCTTTTCTCACATTAGCATTTGACGTTAGTAAGCAATGAATAATTCTATTTTTTCTTTCAAACATCTGGGACACTTTCTACTTTATTTGCTACTCATTTGACAGTCTGCAGGAAATATTAATGAGTGCTGGGTGTTAAAATACAGGCCCTATTGATCATAGTCAGAAAGCAAGGTTACATATGAGAGGCTGCATGTTTTGGGATTAAGAGGCTTGGTTTTAGTGAGATGAAAGTTCAGTTAGTTTAAGGAAAAGACTAGTGTCAGTGAATTGAAACAGGGAGGGGAGGTATCAAAAAGTCACTAGAACAGTTCCAAATCAAGCCACCACAGGATTTCTACCTAAAGGTCATTTTGATGCCTACCAGAATATCGTGTCTCAGCACAGAATGCACATGCTATTGCAGTCCACTCCTCTAGGCTATTGCCACCAATGGTTGTTGTTCAGTGAGCTGATACTAAAGAATTGAACCATTGATAGCTCAGTCATTTCTTTCACATTTGTGTCTTGAAACTGAAGCAAGAATAATAGCTAAAGTTTGTTCATTATGAAGACAACTTTTAACTGGAAATGTAGAGTGCACCCTAGCAGTTCCAGCCTAGGGCTGGACAAGAAGATCAGCACTTAATGGAATACATCATGGAAGCCTCCCAACCTCTGCCCAATGCTGCTCAACCTCTGGAGGAAATAGCTCTACCTGTCCCAGATAATGTTCATAGATTGAAGTGCCATATTCAGCCAGGACCACGAGCCAGTGGGACCACACTGTTCTGGAAACTGGAATGAGCAGCTTTGGTTGAAAAAGCTCAGGATGAGAAAAGAAACTACTTCTCTGGAGAGCTGACTTTGAGGCAGCAGTACCAGGCTGTGAAGATGAACAGGGTACTGTGTGTGAAAAGATTGTCTTATACAGACAATTACTGGGACAATTAAGCACTTGAGAGTCACTAGTCTGGGGCTTGGAAGTCCTTGGAGTTTGCTATTCATAAGTTACGAGGTTGTGCTGGCAAATGTGCAAGAGATCATTGATGGGTGTGTATAACTGGGCTTCTTAGGCTGGGCAGGGTCTACTGATGGAACTGATATACCCCTTTCTATGTTCTCCTACCAAGCTCTGCTGCACAATAATAGAAAACATTTCCATTCCCAAATGATGGAAGTTTAGTGGCCATTGTTCCTCCACATTCATGAGCAAAGTCTATACTGCCAGAATTTTTAAAACCTCTGGGTTTTTCCAGAGTAGAAAGGGTGGGGCTCTCTTCTAGGGCTGTGAGAAATTTCACCGGTCGTTTTGATTCAACACTGTTTTGACTAATTTTGAGCTTGAAACAGAGAGATTGAATCTAAATGAAGGGCTTTAAAACAGCCTCAAAACAAAATGAGGCTAGTTGAAACATTTTGAAAGTTTCAGAATGTTTCAAGTTTTGAAGCCAGCTGCGAGAGACAGGAGAGAACCAGGGCTGCACTCCTAGCACCAGCTGGGAGCGCAGCCTTGGCTCTCCCTGTCTCCTGCTGATGGAAGCTGATAACAGCACAGGGGAAGGGAACTGAGCCCAGGCTCAGTTCCCCATCCCAGTGCTGCAATCCAGCAGGGGGCATTGTGATCTGGTGGGGGGGATAGAGAGTCAGCCTAGCTGGGATGACTTCCCCCGCACCCCCATGCTGCGATCGGGTGCGGGGCGGAGAGTCAGCCCAACTGGGCTCGCTCCCACCCATCCCCCACGCTGTGATCGGTGTGGGGGTGGAGAGTCAGCCCAGCTGGGCTGACTCTGCCCCCCCTGCACGGTGATCAGGTGTGGGGGCAGAGAGTCAGCCCAACAGGCTCACTCCCACCCCCCCTGCTGTGATTGGGTGCGGGGTGGAGAGTCAGCCAAACTGGGCTCACTCCGCCCCCTCCACGCTGCGATTGGGTACGGGGGTGGAGAGTCAAGCTGCAACCTCCTGTCTCTCTCCCCCGCACGTCGCAGGTAGGGATGCCTCTCAAAGCCTGCCATGGCTTTGTGGGATGGATGTTCTGGTCACCAAGCAACTTCGGGGCAGTTCCCCAGGGGCCTTCCTATTACGTCTTTGATGATTAATTGGTTTGAATCAGGAGGACAATGTTTGGTCCTGCCCCCCAGAAGCTTTCCCTTGGTTGCTTCCACTGCTCCCTTTTATGTGGGGCTCCACCTCCCCTACACCCCACCTACTGCCAACCGCGATGTTATCACTTGCATCGTCAAGGGTGATGTCCCGGATGGTCTTCAACGCTCAGATTCATAGGGTCTGATGGCCACACTCAATCAGTGGTGTTCCTTCCCTGAGCATCTTCTGCAGCCCCCTTTTTCCTGTTTAGGCATTGTCTGTCCTTGGCACCGTCTTATTCCCCATCGTGTCATCCCTTTCTTGGATGGGGTCCTTACTGCCCATCAGTGGCATCTGTTTTAAGGTGCCGCTGGGTCCCCACCGGAACCCAGTCTTCAGTGGTGCCAGTCAGTGCCCACTCTGGCTCTGTGGGCAGCTCCCCCGGCTCATGCTGGCCATGAATCCCTCAGGCTTCCCGCTCCTGGGGTGCCCACCAGGTCCCCTCCCTGGGACCATGGGAGTGCTCCTGTCCCTCTGGACTGGCTGGGGGTTTTGCTTCCAGTCCCCACCCCCCCCACTGCTCTTCCTCCGGGCCTTTTATCTTGGCCCTGGGCATCTGGCTAGCCAATCATCCCTGGCAGCCATGTAAAAAATGTGCCTACGCTGATGCAGGAGCTGTCCCTGGCTCCTTCCAGCTCGTCCAATTTTTTTCTCTTTGAACTTCTGCCACGGCAGCTCTGCCTGCTGCAGTTTCACTTTTCCCGTGCTTGTCTCCTGGCGCGGCATCCCACTGCCTCCTGGTGCAGCATCCCGCTGCCTCCCAGCTTCAGTGGGTAATTCTTTTCCACACAGCCCAACTGGGCTCACTCCCCCGCCCACCCACTGCAATTGGGTGTGGGGGTGGAGAGTCAGCCCAACTGGGCTTGATCACAGGTTCCTAAAAGCTGTAGGTCAATCTCACAGTTGCTAGAAACCAGCCGGACCTGCAGGGTGATTAGCAGTTAATATACTGGATAGTCTATTTGAATTGCAGGTAAGAGAGGATCCCATCCCAGGATGAGTAGGAGGCTTAACACCGCAGCACAACACACTGAAAGAGCCAAGGAAGGGGACAAAGATACAGAAACCACTATATTCATACCCTTGATAATCCATGAGCAATGTGGCCATGTTAATATCTGCCTATTCTAATACTGCATTACATCCTTGAAAGCACAGAAAAAACATTCAATAAGATGTGGGGTGAATAAATTGCTGGGCCTATACACATTATGTACAGGTGGACATTTGGGCTTGTGGTACTTTATGTTGGTACTTAAAACAATGGAGTCTGCTATGGGCATGAGTTCCAAATCAGGAGTCCTTGTACATACATTTCATAATGAAAGAGTAGGTGCAAGAGACCAGGAATGGGTTAATCAAAATGAATGTCAGACTCCCATGTTCAAGATTTCCGTGCATCTAGCATTGGTAGAAATTAAGGAAATATGGTCCATAGCAATTAGGGGTGCTCATCCTTATGGACAACATTCTCATTACCTTGACTACCCACACCTTTGTTGCCTTCCTATCTGATCATATACATGGTCATATACTTCTTCAGGACTAATCGATGTATATATAGGGCTTAGTCCATCTGTTTGTTTTTCTGTCTATCCATAACACTCTTTAAGGGCACCAGGAGCCTGGCATGGTGGGAAAGGCAGAGAGAGGGCTCAGCTGAGGAAAAGTGGGAGCTGGACTCCCGGCTATTTGTGAGGCTACTGTGAGAAGACAATTGGATGCACAATGCTATCAAGAAAGTAGCCTCACAGTAGCCAGGAGCCTGGCTCTGGCTTTTCCTCAGCTGGCCTCTCTGTTTGCCCCCCCTGCTGCGCCAGGCTCCTGGCACCCTTAAAGAGTGTTACGGACATATTGTCATACAGACAGACACACAGATGGATGGACTAAGCCCTGAGGACCAAGCTACATGAAGAAGGTGATTGAACTTGAAGTGACATCAAGAGAGCCATGCAAATGAGTCCCAAGAGGAAGCTACCGTGAGAAGAGAACTAGATGCACAACACCATCAAGAATGTGGTGCAAATGAATTGCAAGAGGAGGCCACTCTGAGAAAACAATTAAATGCATGATGTAATCAAGAAAGTCTTGCAAATGATTCCCAAGAAAATGCTGCTGTGAGAAGACAATTAGATGCACAATGCCATCAAGAAAGTTGCCATCAAGAAAGTCGTCATTCATCCATCATTCTTGATGAGCAATTCACTACTTATTTCATACCTAAGGATATGACCAAGTATATGATCAGACAGAAAGGTGTGGGTAGCCAACATGATGAGATCATTGTTCACAATGATGAGCAGTCTGAACTGTTACGGGCCATATTTCCCTACTTTCCGCCAATGCTAGATATAAGGAAACTTTGGATGTGGGAGTTTGCCAAAAAGCGTAGG